ATATTATATATATTATATATATTATATATATTATATATATTATATATATTATATATATTATATATTATATATATTATATTATATATATTATATATATTGTATATATTATATAATATTAGATATGTACATATTATGTGTTATATATACATATATATTATATATAATATATATTATATATAATATATTGTACATATGTATATATATATATATATATATTGTGTTATATGTATATATATATATATATTATGTTATATTATATATATAATTATATGTTATATATATATGTTATATTATATTATATTATATTATATTATATTATATATATGTATTATATATATATTATAATATATATATGATATTATTTAATGTAATATAATACAATATAATATAATATACATATTATTATATATAAAATATATTATATTATATTATATTATATATACATGTGTTGTTGTTTTTACTGTTTGATATAAATTATGATTAAAGTGTATAATTATGAACTGAACACCTGGTGACATGAGGCCAGAGCAGTATCTAGAAGAAAAAACAGAGTAGTACTCGTATGATGATATCATGATGGCTTCCCAAATTTACACACCGTTTGAAGGTAGCTTCTCGCCTTGCAACCTGAAAAGGCATGGGAGGGACAAGTTGCTGCGGATTTGACTGCCTGCGACTACTCTTGCACTTCAGAAGTGAAAATTATGGGTGAGAACTGCACAAACCTTGGACTTGAATGTGTCTTGGCTTTGAATGTGATGAAATGGAAAGCGAGAATGCATGGGAGATACACTCAAGCAGACCCCTTTCGATTACGATGTTCATCGCTCTGAATAGATGGTCCCTTCATTTGTGCCTTGCGAGGTGGTCCATTGGACTGCACTCCGGTGAGCGGCGAGGGTTACAAAGCCTTCCTGGACAGAATGATTTCTGACACTCGCAGCACTTGCCCTTCTGATGGATTTTCTCCCATTTTTTTCATTTTTTTTCCATGTGCGTGCTATGGACATCTATGGACCATCTTGTCAGCCTGAACCCATAAATGGTTGATGTCATGTCCAAAGCTAGGGTTCCAGTCACCACCACCATCTTAGGAGATCAAAACACAGATTGATGTGTTGACGTTGGCTCGTTCTGGGCCGGGCCGCTACAATCTCACACACCGCTGCACCGATATCTTGGGCACTGCCGAGCGATGCTTCAAGGATTGCCATGGCCACATTGAGGACAGTTGTTGCTTTGCATGTAGGATTGCACATATGTTGTACAGCATTATTTTATGCTGTTCACATATCTTCACTTTTCTGTATATAGTATGACGATTTATGATATTTTATGATCAAGTATGCATAGTATGCCTTGTTTTGTTTCATGCTTTTCTGTGTATCCTTTGGCAGGAGATAGTCCCCAAGGCGGCATCCGACATCCCAGGATGCTGTGCTCCTCGCACACAGGCGGAGGATGCCAAGTGCAAGGAGCTCGGTGATCAGCGCACGGCATGGGAGGAATACGACGCTTGTGCCTCGGCTGCAGATGGAAACTCAAGAAGTGAAAATTGGGTATACATTGGGGTATACCGTATCACCATGTATCACCCGCAAATGGCAATATGAATGGGGAAAATGAATGAACATGATGATTCAGAATTGGATTTAGGGGCACCATATTTTCAGGCAGATTCAAATATACAATAATATACGGTGGAAATCTCAATTTTAGATGCGTGATATAAATAGCTGATGCACAATTGTTGGTTTCAGCTGGACTTCCAAAGTCAATCCAAGTGTCCACTGCGGCCACTGCTCTGAGGCTATGATGCCGCAGAGCCACAGTGGGAGACGACCAAAGCAGAGGAGATTGCCGGGGAGTCCGCCCTGCAAGCCCAGATGCGATCCATTCTGAGGATGTCGCTGGCTCGGCCATGGCATACAAGATGGCTTCACATGCCTTGTATTGTTGTGTGATTTTGAAGGTAGTGACTGCAGCCAAGGATGTGTATCATGACTATCAAGACTAAGTAGCAGCAGCAAGTGATCCTTTCATCACATGTAGCGGCGAACGAGGCTTTGTTACATTGATTCCTTCGGAGAAGATCAGGCTGCCAAGTTGAACCAATGTCCCTCTCAGTTGCCTTCAGCATATTTTCTTTTTTTGGGACAGTACAGCCCACTACAGGTTTTATTTGTATCATGTTCCTTTTAGCACTGCAATGAAAAGTGAACATGTTTGTTTTTGTCCACTTGCAAGGAATTGAACAGTACACAACATGCTGTCTTAAAATGAGGATTTGAAAGGCTTTGACAGGTATGATCAGGTATGATCAGGTATGTAATCCCCTGTCATCCAAACCAGATCTTTCAGTTTTGGAATCGACAGGACTGGATTCCAACCACCAAGGTGTGGAGAACGACTACACGAAGCACCCAGAGGTGTTGGCCCTGACCATCGAGCCAGGTGTGCCAGAGGCAAAGCTTTCTGCCTTTGCATGCCACTTGGCAAGACAACGCAAGGTATGGCAAGACATGGCAAGACATGTTGAATTATATTCGAAGGAAGATAAGGAAGTTTAGAAGTCAAACTTCCGACAATATGGACAGATGAAAAGCAGAGACGGGAAGAGTCAGAGAGAAGAGAAGAGTAGAAGAGAGAAGATCAGAGAAGAGAAAAAGTCAGAAGAAAGAAGATCCAGGTGCGCGAAAAGGTAGGAAAGTCGCGAAACACTGTGTTTTTCCAATGATTTGTGGCTCCGGAGGGTCGAAAAGTAGGCTCGCTAAAGCGGCGGGCGCGGAGCCAGCTGGCCAGATGAGAGATGAACAATTGCACGCCGTTGCGGCGCGAAGCAAATTTCGAAGTCAAAATGTACAAAACACACCATGCTCGGACCATTTTTGGAAGTTGAGATGTCCAAAAAGTGCGGGCCGTTGTGGCGCGAAGCACATTTGGAAGTCAAAATGCACAAAGGACCACTTTTGGAAGTTGACATGTCGAAAAAGTGCACGCCGTTGCGGCGCGAAGCACATGTGGAAGTCAAAATGCACAAAAACACACCAGGTTCGGACCACTTTTGGGCGTTTCGCCTGGCAGGCACAGTACAAGAGGCATGTTCATCAGAGATGTTAGGAGGTCAGGGCGCTGATTTCCTGAGAGGGTTTGCATTTTGAAGCATGAGATCTTCAAGTTTGCTTAGATGATTTTGCGTGACAGGCGCAGCACTTCGTATGACCTGGCATCACTTTTTCGTGGCAGGCGCAATACTTCAGAGGCATGGGCTGGAAAAAATGTGGAAAATTGCAAAACGCATTGGTACGAGGCTGTCAGATCTGCATTCAACTTTCCATTATTGAAGGAAGTCTAGCAGAATTGCTTCGTTTTTGATGTTTCCAACTTCAAAAATTGAGGAAGTCTCGCAGAATTGCTTTGTTTTTGATGTTGCCAACTTAAAAAAATGAGGAAGTCTTGCAGAATTGCTGCCTTTTTGATGTTATCAAGTTCAAAAGCTGAGGACGTCTCGCAGAATAGCTTCGTTTTCAAGCTTGCAGATAGACAGATCGATAGATAGACAACTACAACTACAACTACACTACACTACTACAACAACTACAAATACAAATAAACGACGCTACATTACACTACACTATTTACATTACACTGCACTACGTACACTAATTGCATCTAATTACACTACACTGCACAAATTACACTACAACTACAACTACTACTACCACAGCTACACCAGCAATATCATCTACACCGCATTACACTACACTGCACTAATTACATTGCAGCACAATTAGACACACACGCACATATATATATATATTATAATTATAATTATATATATATAGATTATATATATATATGTATATATTGTGATGCAAATTGCGCACCTCTGTTTCTGTAACTCGCATTAGTTCAAGTTACCAGTAGTACTGCACAAAACGGTGGCGGAAGTTTCACAAATAGGAAACCTATAGGAGAGGTTGGTTGTTGTGAATCACGGATGCCAGAGCTAATCCATCCTGATGGACCGAAATGTGATTGAAGTTGTGTTTTTTGGAGTGGCTGCACTGGTTGCAGGGGTCACCTCACCCACATCTGCTGGATGTAGTGTGGTGTAGTGCAGTTGTAGTTGTATAGTTGTAGTGTGGTGTAGTGGAGTTGTAACTGTAATGTGTAATAAGTGTAGTGTAGTGACAGTTGCAGTTGTAGTTGTGGTGTGGTGTAATTAGTGTTTTGTATTGTGGTGTACTGTAGCGTTGTGCACTGTAGTCTGGTATAGTATAGTGTAGTCTAGTCTAGTGTAACGTAGGGTAGTGTAGTTGTAGTTGTAGTGAAGTGTAGTGTAATTAGCGTAGCGTTGTGTAGTTGCAGCTGCAGTTGTAGTCGTAGCTGTAGCGTAATGTAATGTAATTAGTGCAGTGTAGTGTAGTGTAGTGTAGTGTTGTGTAATGTAGTGTAGTTGTAGTTGCATTTGTAGTTGTATTGCTTTCCAATGACTGGTGAACTAGTGGAGACTGGAGATTCAAGGCAATGCCAGCGAGACGCCGGGAACCGCAGAGTTTGACGAGCTGCACTATGCTCATTTGCCTACTGGTCTTGCCAGCTGCCCCCAGTTGCACTGCCAGGACTGGGGATGTGTTTTTTTTGGGAATATGTTATCATGATGTGTCATGTTTCTGTGGTCTCATTGATCCATAATGATTTATGTATTGGCCTGCACAGGCATCCCAAGAGGATAGAGTTCTCCCTAGAGTATTCTGGAGTGAATTCAGATATATGAAAGATATAAGAATACAATATACATACGTTTATGTATGTATATATATATATGTATGCGTGTATGCATGCATGCATGCATGCATGGATGTATGTATGTATGTATGTATGCATGTATTTATGCATGTATTCATGTACGTATGTAATGTAACGTAACGCAATGTAATTTAATGTGATGTAGTGTAGTGTAGTGTAATGTAATGTGATGTAATGTGAAGTAAGTATCTATGCAATGTATGCATGTATGTATGCATGCATGTATGGATGTATGTAATGTAATGTAAAGTAATGTAATGTAATGTAATGTAATGTAATTAATGTATGTATGTATGTATGTATTGTATGGATTGTATGTATGTATGTATTCTATGTACGTATGTACTATGTTCCCATGTATGCATGTATGTATGTAATGTATGTATGTATGTAAGTAAGTAAGAAAATAAGTAAGTAAGTATGTAATGTATGTAATGTATGTCATGTATGCAATGTATGCAATGCATGCAATGTATGCAATGCAATGTAATGTATGTAATGTATGTAATGTATGTAATGTATGTAACATGCATTGTATGTAATGTATGTAATGTATGTAATGTATGTTATGTATGTATGTATGTAATGTAAAAAAGTATGTATGTATGTAATGTAATGTAATTTAATGTTATGTAATGTAATGTAATGTAAGTATTTATGTATGTAATGTATGTATGTATGTATGTATGTATTGTATTGTATTGTATTGTATGTATGTATGTATGTAATGTATGTATGTATGTATTGTATGTATTGTATGTATTGTATGTATTGTATGTATTGTATGTATTGTATTGTATTGTATTGTATTGTATTGTATTGTATTGTATGTATGTATGTATGTATGTATTGTATGTATTGTATGTATTGTATGTATTGTATGTATTGTATGTATTGTATGTATTGTATGTTTGTATTGTATGTATTGTATGTATTGTATGTATTGTATGTATGTATGTATGTATGTATGTATGTATGTATGTATGTATGTATGTATGTATGTATGTATGTATGTATGTATGTATGTATTGTATGTATTGTATGTATTGTATGTATTGTATGTACGGTATGTACGTATGTTCCCATGTATGCATGTATGTATGTAATGTATGTAGGTAGGTAGGCAGGTAGGTATGTATGTACGTATGTACGTATGTTTGTATGTAATGTATGTAATGTATGTAATGTATGTAATGTATGTAATGTATTCAATGTATGTAATGTATGTAATGTATGCATGTATGCATGTAATGTAATGTAATTTAATGTAATGCAATGTAATGTAATGTAATGTAATGTAATGTATGTTATGTTTTGTTTTGTTAGTATGTTATGTTTTGTTAGTGTGTTAGTATGTTAGTATGTTAGTATGTATGTATGTATGTATGTATGTATGAATGTATGTATGTAATGTATGTAATGTATGTAATGTATGTAATGTATGTAATGTATGTAATGTATGTAATGTATGTATGTATGTAAGTAAGTAAGTGAGTAAGTATGTAATGTATGTAATGTATGTAATGTATGTAATGTATGTAATGTATGTAATGTATGTAATGTATGTAATGTATGTAATGTAATGTAATGTAATGTAATGTAATGTAATGTAATGTAATGTAATGTATGTAATGTATGTAATGTATGTAATGTATGTAATGTATGTAATGTATGTTATGTATGTTATGTATGTTATGTATGTATGTATGTAATGTATAAATGTATGTATGTAATGTAATGTAATTTAATTTAATGTTATGTAATGTAATGTAATGTAAGTATGTATGTATGTATGTATGTATGTATGTATTGTATGTATTGTATGGTTGTATTGTATGTATTGTATGTATTGTATGTATTGTATGTATTGTATGTATTGTATGTATGTATGTATGTATGTATGTATTGTATGTATTGTATGTATTGTATGTATTGTATGTATTGTATGTATTGTATGTACGTACGTACGTATGTTCCCTTGTATGCATGTATGTATGTAATGTATGTATGTATGTAGGTAGGTAGGTAGGTATGTACGTATGTACGTATGTATACATGTTATGTATGTAATGTATGTAATGTATGTAATGTATGTAATGTATGTAATGTATGTAATGTATGTAATGTATGTAATGTATGTAATGTATGCATGTATGCATGTAATGTAATGTAATGTAATGTAATGTAATGTAATGTAGTGTAATGTAATGTAATGTATGTTATGTTATGTTATGTTTTTTATGTTAGTATGTTATGTTATGTTAGTATGTTATGTTATGTTAGTATGTTAGTATGTTAGTATGTATGTATGTATGTATGTATGTATGTATGTATGTATGTATGTAATGTATGTAATGTATGTAATGTATGTAATGTATGTAATGTATGTAATGTATGTAATGGATGTAATGGATGTAATGGATGTAATGGATGTAATGGATGTAATGTATGTAATGGATGTAATGTATGTAATGTATGTAATGTATGTAATGTATGTAATGTATGTAATGTATGTAATGTATGTAATGTATGTAATGTATGTAATGTATGGAATGTATGGAATGTATGCAATGTATGTAATGTATGTAATGTATGTAATGTATGTAATGTATGTAATGTATGTAATGTATGTAATGTATGTAATGTATGTAATGTATGTAATGTATGTAATGTATGTAATGTATATAATGTATGTAATGTATGTAATGTATGTAATGTATGTAATGTATGTAATGTATGTAATGTATGTAATGTATGTAATGTATGTAATGTATGTAATGTATGTAATGTATGTAATGTATGTAATGTATGTAATGTATGTAATAAATGTAAATGTAATGTATGTAATGTATGTAATGTATGTAATGTATGTAATGTATGTAATGTATGTAATGTATGTAATGTATGTAATAAATGTAAATGTAATGTATGTAAATGTAATGTATGTAATGTATGTAATGTATGTAATGTATGTAATGTATGTAATGTATGTAATGTATGTACTGTATGTAATGTATGTAATGTATGTAATGTATGTAATGTATGTAATGTATGTAATGTATGTAATGTATGTAATGTATGTAATGTATGTAATGTATGTAATGTAGGTAATGTAGGTAATGTAGGTAATGTAGGTAATGTAGGTAATGTAGGTAATGTAGGTAATGTAGGTAATGTAGGTAATGTATGTAATGTATGTAATGTATGTAATGTATGTAATGTATGTAATGTATGTAATGTATGTAATGTATGTAATGTATGTAATGTATGTAATGTATGTAATGTATGTAATGTATGTAATGTATGTCATGTATGTAACGTATGTAATGTATGTATTGTAATGTATGTAATGTAATGTATGTAATGTA